CCCCCCCCCCCCCCCCGCACCCTCTTTGGTTTTGCTCTGCTGTTTTGCAACCGGTAGTAGTAAGATAAAACAATCTACTCGCAGCGCTGCTCCTCCCTTCCAGGGAGTCCTGCTGATGCGAAAACCTGGTTGGTGGATTGGAATCACGCTACCTTCTGCACAAGCTTCTTGTCATGTATTGACTGACTTGATAGATGCTTAAGTTCCTAGTCCCGGGGGGCGTTTTGAGTTCCGGTTGGCAGCTTTGTGTGCTGTGCAGAAAAGTCGTTTTTGAAGCGGCGTCGTTACGGTTAACGCCGCTGCTTTGACAAATAAGAGAGCAAGTTGCTTAGTCAGCGTTCCCTGTCCGGGATCATAGGATGTCGCTTAAAGAAACCGTCCTGCTCAGGTGATTGCTCAAAACAATGGTTGGTCAATGCTGGATAAACACCATTAAGAAAAAATGGAATTTATCTCGCAGCCTTCCAGCCTTGCTTCCAGGGCACATTCTGTACCAACCGTATCAAAACAGCGATTCAGCCATAAAATAACAACTACATCTAGAAGCAGTTATAAAGAAGCAGAGTGTAAAAGGCTTAGGGGAACAAATACCTTTGTTGAAAATAAAGCTTATTTTAAAGTGTCTTTTAAAAATAGACACTTTAAGGCAAGTTGCAGCTCTTCAAATGTTGATGGAGGACTGCACCCTCCATCTGCCATAGCCAACATGGTGAAGAAGGATGGGGTTTGTTGCCCTGCACCTGGAGCCTGTTTTTAAGCCATAATTGGCTTGGGAGCATATAGTCCAAATCGAGGACCGTATGCTGCTTGATGGACCTGCCTGAGCCTCGGGACCAGCTGTTGAAGAGCTGTGTCCAAAATTTGTCCGGATCTGCCAAACTGGCAAGTGTTAAGAGACAGGACATGTTTAGTTGTGGCCCCATCTCTTGGGAGCTTGTGCAGAAGTATGTGTGGCCCTCTTTCTGTTAGTTTTCACACAGGCATCGAGAACACCCTTGTTCTGTCTTGCATGTAGCTCAGTTCTCATGCCTAGGTCTCCTTGCCCCAGGATCCGTCCCTGCACTGTTTCCACAGGAGGAGAAAAGGAATGCTTTTAATACAGAGAAGGACAGCTTTGGCCCATAAGATGTTTTTTCCTACAGTTCCCATCCTCCTTCACCCTTGGCTATGCTGGCTGGGGCTGATGGGTGTTCTAGGACAAAACAGCTAGAAAACCAGACGTTTTTAACCCCTAATGTAAGGCACCAGTGCAGACTAAAACTGATTTCATAACTGAACTCCTGTTTGAATCGCGTCTCAATCCAGTGCATATTTGGAAGCACTTAACCTGCTGCTAAAATCCAGGGGCTTGTCTGTTTCTGCCCTGAATTGTGGGCATGTCACCTTTTTGGTTGATCCTGTGCGTTTTGCTGGTGCTCTGAGAGTTCCTTTGTAGCGTGCGGACACTGGGGATTTGGTGCACCTTGTCAGTTACGAGAGGTGTGTTTTTGTGTAACTGAAAGCGTGGACCTGGCGGGAGAATTGTAGGACACTGGCTCCAGGGCATGTTGGGAATCGTCTTTCCTGTTGCCACTTTATTTAAGCACTAGCCTAGTTGCCAGAGCGGACCAGGAATTCGGCGCAGGCGAATGGATCCCCTGGAGCAGCCGGTCCCTTTTCCATACCTAGCATAGCATTGCCAGTTTCTCGCCTTTCCTTTGCCAGCTTCCAATGAATTAGTCGAATATCTTAGAGCCTAGTAGTTTTGCAAGCATATTTACAAAGGTGCTGCAGCATCTTTTTGTCTAAGAGTGTAAGCTAAAAGCACAGAAGTTCTAAGTGCAAACCCTTAATGGTTATTTTATACTGTACACTTTACACAGCAGGCAAAATCACCCCTCCTCAATAGGCTGATTTCTGTATAACCAGTATAATACAGAAATATAACCAGTATATAACCAGAGCCAGTGTGGGGAGAGCCAGTGTGATGTCGTGGTTAAGAGCATGGGACTGGGACTCAGGTGATCTGGGTTCTAGTCCCCGCTCAGCCATGGAGCCAACTGGGTGACTTTGGGCCAGTCACAGACTCTCAGCCCAACCTACCTCACAGGGTTGTTGTTGTGGGGGTAAGATGGAGGAGGAGAATGATGTAAGCTGCCTTGAGCCTTTTGTAGGAAAAAGGCAGGATATAAATCGAAAAATAAATAAATAAATAAAATAACACTAACTCACGGTTTGGGTTGTTGAATTCTAGGTGGTTGTGATAAATGAACACAGCTATGTTAACAAGCCATAGTTGAACAATAGCATTTATCTGAGACAGCTGGAAGATCACAATATAGTAGCTGAGCTTTTGAGAACTTGTCCTTAAGTGGGATTTTAAGCAAACGGAAGGAAGAGTTCTGCTTGAATTGCAGCAGGCTACATTATGGGAGTATTTACAGTAGTTTTCTCCTGCCAGGGGGACCTCCAGGACTGCAACTGGGGTGCTGGCTGGGGATGATGGGTGGTACAGTCAGACACATCTGGATACTACCAGGTTAGGGAAGGGTGTGCAATGTTCGTTTGTTTTGCAGGGCTCGGGAGCACCTGCAATAAGGCATGTGATGAACTTCAGGGTTCGCTTTAAATGTAATGGGTGGTTGGCTGGAAAGTGGATTTTTGCTGCCATTTAATGCTTGAGGCATTAAAGATTTAGTTTCTTATGAATGGACATAGTTTTCAGTGATAGCCTGATGTTTTTGCTAGAAATGAAGCATTGGGGTCTTCTGGATATGATCTCTCAGAAGCGGAAAGGAGGAAGAGGATTTGGATGCAGTAAAATCCTGCAGTTGGGAATCTGATCCTGCTGTGGAAATGTATGCCATGGACTGGGTTCAGGCAACATGATACCCTTTACTTGAGGGCTCAGTATGGGTTGCCCTTGAACCATGAGTTGTTGAAATGTGGGTTATTACGTCGTGCGAACTCAGCCAAGATAAGCCATGCTGCTTGATCCATAGCTGACCACCCACAACAAACCATGGGTTCTTTCTGGGGGCTTAACAGACCATGGCTTGTTAGTTTAGTGCAGCTTGAAATACAAGAACCCATTTTTTCAGCCACAGAGGTCACCCTCAACCCTTGGGTAGGGGTTGTTGTGTTGGCTGAACCCAGTTGTGGATTACTGGTTGCAAGCTGTTTTCAGCTTTTGGGGAAATGGGTTGATGCTTGAGATGGCCTCCTTTGTGTTTAGTGAATTGCACACCCCTGCATTGTGACTATTAATAAGGACAGCGTAATGATTTTGGCAGGGCTTGAGTTTCTCATGGGACAATTCTGTGCATGCATGGACAAACAAACAAACAAACAAACAAATAAATAAATATGGCCACCAGCTCCCAGCATGCTCCAACCTGCCTTTGAGCCAATGGCACAATGGCTTTCCTGGTTTTTTTTTTTTTTTTTTTGTTTGTGCTCTGGAGGAACGAATGGGCGTGTCGCAGGTTTTTAAGCTGAACAATAATGTTCTGAACTTGGTGTTATCCACCCACCTGCCTGAGGAAGCAACCATTTTATTACCTAGAAATAACATCACACTTGTTAATGAGGACCAGGAACTTGTCAAACACATTTTGCTGTCTGAGGCAGAGCAGCAAATGGCAGCCTGCTCTTTGGTCTCAAATTATAGCCCCCAAATTATTCTGGCTCCTGGGGTGGCACCTGTCTCTCTGCAGCAGGCAGAAAATAGAGGATAATAATCAAATTACAATTTGTGGCCTTCCCATGATGCCCCAGTTCTGCTTGGAAGAGCATTCTGTGGCCCCGAAAGATCCTGGCAGTTTGTTTACAACCAGTGTTTCTCTTTCTGTTACAAAATACAGTTGCTTTCCTGAGCTGGAGGATATGAGTTAGGTGGGTTCAAAGGATCTGGACCCATTCGGGAGTCCTCAAAAGCTTATTCTGTGCTGCCTAGAGCAGCAGAAGGAGTTGGTTGTCCAGCTTTCCTTGCCACATCACTATGTGACATGGAGTTTCAGAATCCCTTGCTCGTCGCTTGAAAAATCAGGTGAGCAGAACTAAGTAATTTTGCATTGACAGTTTCCCCATTTTGGGGGGTTTGGCTGAGCAGCTGAGCTGCTTTTTCAGCTGCCACCAAGTTGACCCTTGATTATTCTAGCATGCGCAGCGCAGAATTGTGTGTCTGCAGGGCATGCTAGTGAACTTTGGAGTAGGCTGAACTGGTGGGAGAGACTCTCCGATAAGTCTTTTCAAATGCATCAAGAGCGCTCTTTGCCTTTGGGGGTGTCCTGTCTAGGGCAGCGATCTCCAGTGGACTTTTGTGCATAAAAAGGGGGCAGAGGTGGGGAGCCATGGCAGTCCAGGGGTCACGTCACCTTCTGACCCCAGATTTTCAAAGCCCAGCCAATCTGTGCTTGTGGGCAGGAAATTCAGAGGACGAAATCTCCAGAGAATCGAAGTCAGCAAACGGTTGACAGCGGTGGCAAACCTTGCCTCTCTGGGGGCTTGTAGCAGAACGGGAGTGGAAAACACAAATGCTTACAAATGTTCGGTCTGTACGGAGGAGACGAATGCGCTTTTTTCCGTGTGCGCCTTCCTATGGGAGCTCGTGTGGCGGCAGCTGCATGAAGCAGCCAGACTCCAGTCAGCCTCCTGGGGTGGGGAGCAGCCATTTTACTTTCCCAACAAGGCTGCCATTTTAGCTTCCCACAATAGCCTGGTGTTGATAAATTGAATTGGTACAGTACAGTGCCAGTTTCCAGCAGTCTGGAGCTGAGTGGGGCACTGTGGGAGAAAATCATTTTAAAGTAGGGATGTTTTAGGAGACAGCGCAGATTTGGGGAGAAAAGGGGTATTGCAAGAAGGTAGGAAGCACTGAGCTCTGGAAAAGCACCCAAGCTGTTGAATGAATAAGTTGCAAGGAAGGGTGGTTCTGCTCAGTTTGGTTCCTGCCCCCCTAAAATTGCAACTTACTTAAAACCAAAAATGGCCAGGTAGTCTAGCTTTTTGCACAAGCCACTTGTTAGCTTGGTTAAAGCTAAAACTATCTTGAAGGCCCAGATTAATAAGCAACAAGGGTGAGAAACTGTAACAGTGGAAACAGTGTTTAGACTATTAAGGGCGCAAGCAAGCAAACAAACCGCTTGGGCCTGAAAACAGTATCCAAGAGTAGAATCCTATGCATGTTCTTTTAGACGGAAGAACATCCCCACATCTCTGTCCTAACTTAATTTCCCCCGCAATTTGAGTAATGCCAATGTTTTCCCCTACTTTTATGAGGAGGACTTTGCCACCAGACTTTTGCTCCATACATGCTGGGACAGGCAACCAACCCAACCAGTTTCTTCGGAGGGTTTGCAAGCATTAAGCCCTTCTGATGGATGCTGATGTGTTAATATCATCATCCTATGGCCCCATAACTGAAGTTCTCTGGGCAGGTGACAACAATCCATAAAACCTACACAATAACATTAGAGTAGTTTAAGTGCGCTGCCTGAATTGATAGCTATTTTCCTCTCCTCTCCTCTCCGTTACTTCGCATGTCCCATTATTGTTGGATCCAGACTTATCTATGATTTGAATACACCAGGTGAAAAGAATTAGAGCTGACAGGGGATGTATGAGACATTTATTTCTGTTCTTTTTTATCAGGATTTGCAGATTTCATATAGGATGTTTCGGGGTTGAATCCAGTGCCGTTTAGAATAGGAATCTGTCATGGGGGAGAGAACATGTTTGGTCACATGAAACGATTTCAGTTTTGACCTCTTGTTGTCCATCGCTGCGTGTGAGTGTCAGTTCGGGGGGAGAGGAAATCTTTCTTTGCGCATGGTTGCCCTTGTCAAAAACCGTAGGGTGGCAGCGAAAAATAGAGTTGCATTTTGGAGTTACTGGCTTCAGTATGAGAGGCAGCCAGCAGGCAAACGTGACTCTCTGGAAATTTGACAGAGCTTAAACGGTTGCTCAATATTTTATTGAAATGGGACCCTCCGCCCCACTTTAACCTCACAAGGACAAGCCTGTGGGGTTGAGCTGTGAGCCTGTGATTGGTCCCGAGTCATCCAGCAAGCCCCATAGCTGAGCAGGGACTAGGACTCACATCTCCCAGGTCCCTCTAACCACTACACCACAGTGTCTCTCAGTAGGTCAGACTGGGAGGGGGAATGTGCCTGACGTAAGGAAACACACGGCACTTCATGACTGGGTCGTGATTTTCTAGCCACTAGGTCATGCTGCCTCTCTGGATCAGCAAGGATTCTGCTTGCAGGATTTGCTGTGGGGTTTTCAGGTCGTCTGTTCCAGACTTTGCCCCTTCCCCAGCCTGGTGCCTTCTCATTGGTGCAGGACTTAACTCTTAGAAGTTTTGACCATTGGCCAGGCTTGGGAGTTGAAGCCCAAGCCTTTGGAAGGGGACAAAACTGAAAAAGGTGGCTGTACCAGCTCGCCTGGAGGTAGCCTTGACTGAACTCAGACTTCATTCTGAGTAGGACTGCTCTGCAAACCTTGAATGACTCCAGACTCTTTGTAAATATTTTAGTAGAGACCATTTTGCTTATAAAAGTCTTGGGGAGCAAGACTTTGAATTCTGATTTCCTTCCACGAAGTAGAATTTATGGGCTGGGGAGACGAAGAAGATAACAGATGTACTTGGCTTGGCAAGTTCATCACTTGCTAGTACTTCGAAAGGTGCCAGCACCTCACTGAATGTCTGCCCCGAAAATTGTTGGGAAATTTTGCCAGGTTAGGAAGGTTTTGCCAAGTTTGGAGTCTTCCTGAAATGGTGCTTCTGCTCTGGTAACTGCAGAGATCTCAATTACTGTTTAAGATATTCAGGGGATGGCCAGTTTGGTAAATGCTTTGCGAAACAAACAGTCCCTTGTTTGCTTAGCAGTAGCAAAAATCCCTTTTGCTTATCCAAGCATCTTAACTGGTCCGTTCTTTGCTTTGTCTGTCTTATCGTATGGGGTTGGTTTTCTTTTTTTTAATCGTTCTGTGTATTATTTTAATCATATTTGTGCATGGCCGGGTATCTGAAAAAAGTAACACTGGTTTAAATATACTTTTGGAATAATAAACCAGAGGTAGATACATATGACCCTTAAACAAACAAACAAACAAATGCCATAAATTTGTTTTAATGTAAATCACATGCTGTTGAATGAGCCCAGCTGGGAGAGATGGACCTCCACCTTGCATAAAACCAATCACACAGTTCTTCAGGCAGACATGTGGTATGAATAGCATTTTTCCAGGGCTTAATTGCATTCAGCAGCCTGATCAGCCAGGGAAGGAAATGTGTGGCATTCTGCCAGAGGGGAGCTATCAATCCTTTCAGGCAGGAGAAATTGGCTCAAGGTGCCTTCATCTTGTTAACGATGTGGCTTGATCCATTTGTAAAGGTACCCGGTGTACATACTCTTTGTTTTCTTCTTAAATCTTTTTTTTTTTTAATCACCCCTCCCATTTGTCTGAAACGCAATGCAGACAGCTCCATTTATATATTCCTTGCTTGGTTCTGCATTAATTTCCCGTTTCTATAGGATTAAGCCATTAAAAGCCTGGTCGTTTGCCCTTAGGCATAGTCTGGGGACCATATATTCCCAGATCCAAGGTTGGAGAGAGCGTGAGAACACCAGCCTAGGAGCTGGGAATCCCCACACTGGAGCCAAGGTGGAAAGAATGGAGCTGGCTGCTTCTCTGATGTTGGAAATTGACCTTGGAAGGGGGGCCTTTTGGTGGGAGGGAGTCCAGGAGACTGGGGCTGCCCAGACACAAGATGAGCTAGCCGTGTTTCTCCCTCTGTCACCCACCAAAATCTATTTAGCTGAAGTGTAAAGCTTGGTGGGACAGTATTTACTTCCTTCTCTGCATAGGTTGTGTGTAAGCCCCAGTCAGAAGCAGCCAGAAATTAATCAAAGCAGTCTTTACATCTAGTTTGGCCTCTGCTAGTTCGGCCTCTGGACCTTGGTTCTGCACCCCTGGCCTTACTAGTGAGTGCGAGTAACTGTGTTTGAGCTGAACTTCTAACATCTGGGTTCAATAAGGAACGTGTCGTAGATTGATACTTCCATGCGCCTCCTTGTATGTTAGGGGGTTGTTGTGAGTGGCATGAATACCTCTCTCTTTTAGGTGGAGTTGGCCAGGGATGGCTCTTGGAGGTCCTTCCTCCCACTTTGCCTGGCTGCAACTTGGAGGGGCAGGGGTGACCCTGGTTTTCGTCCATTGGCCTTTCTCTGGCTGGCCTGGTCTTCAAGTTTGGAACAAGCGATCCTTCGCCTCTTGCTGACAGCTGGCTGACATTAACAAGCAGCCACCTTTCATCCTTCTCTTGCGAGGTTTTGCGCTGTGAATATAGAAAAGGCCGTTCGTCTTCCGTACCTGGGGAAACACGTTCTGCAAGCTCATGCAGAACATCTCAGCCTTAGTCTGTGCTTGGCCTGGAGAAGACACTTGTCTCAAACCCTGACAAGCTGCCGCCAAGCAGTTGGGGCACTGCCAAGCGAGATACAAGAATTTTCTCCTTTGATCCAAGGTCGCTTCTTTGGTTCCTTGCAAGCACGGAAGCATGTCTGTACTGTATTCCAGTCATGATTAATTGCTCTTCCATGCTTTAGAATAGTTATGGGGCCAGGAGAGAGGAATAACAGGGGGCAGAAATGAAGGGTCTGAAAAGCGAATGCATGCATTTAGGAGGCAGAGGAACTGGCATAGTAGAGCTTCATTGTAGTTCTATAAAGAACGGAAATTGGGATTTGCAGCTGCGTCCAATGGAGGTAGGATTTCCAGCCGTTACGGGCTGCTTTTTGCATGGATCCGTGTCTCACAGATGCCTGGCACATCCCAGATGCTGCTGAGGAGCATTATGAGCAATGCTCTATTCCCCTCTGGGTTTTACCTTCACATGCACAGCCTGATGGTGCCTCTCTGAACACACCCTGCTCTCCCTTGGAGTTACGTGTTTCGTGAGGATCACGTTTCCCTGCTGAACAATCCTGGACAATCCGCCTTCCGTTATCTGTAATCCAAAGAAGAGTCCTGCTGGATCAGCCACCAAACTGTACTTTGCTTGTAAACTGAGCCAACATGTCGTTTTAAGTTAGTGTCACAGGACATTTGAAGCTTGGGACCTTAGGGATGTTAAAAGCTGCCTTCTTTTGACCTGGTTTGCATGATCATCATCGCTTGTTTAAGCCACAGTTGGCTGCCAGTGTTTTTTTGAATATTTAAGCCCTTGCCTGTCATCTTATCAGAGTCTGGCTGACGAGGTTGGCATGGTTGTTGAACCCACTCACAACTCTCACAACCCTTGCGCACATTTGGATAACATGGCAAGCCACAGTTTGAGTATTCAAAATAGCTGCCAAAACACGCTGCAACTTACCATGGTTTGAATTAGTCACTGAGGACTGGTGGCTTGTGCAAAGCATCCTACCGAGTCAGACCATTGGATCCGCCTATCCCAGTATTGTCAGCACTGACTGGCAGTGACCTTCCAGGCTTTGGGCTAAGATTCAGTTTTTGCCTGAGTGAGAGGCCAGGGATTGCACCCACGAGCTTCCGCATTCAGAGCAGGTGCTCTGCCTCCAACCATGTCCTTTGTGGAAGCCCCTGAGTGGCATCTTAGGGCCTTGACCTCTTCTTCTCCCCCGCCCCCCACACCCGTCCCTGCAGGAGCTTGACTTCTTGAGCCTTGTGGGGTGGACTCTCGATTCCACGCTGTCCTCTTTGATCCACTGGTTCTGCAGTCCAACACATCAGGCAAGGAGCTGTTGTGCACAGAGGGCCAGTTTGCACATGTGCTGAATTTCTGGGTCTGGAATGGGGAACATGTGCTCCTCAAGAGGCTTCTGAACCTCCGTTCCTCAGCCTGCATGACCCGTGGCCGGGAATGATGGGAGCTGCAGTCCAGCAACATTGCAGAGTTAGAAGTTGACCGTCCCTGAAGCTGAACATACACACAGGTAGCACAGCCTCCACATGCCGCTGGACTCCAGCTCCCATCATCCCCAGCCACACTGGAGACGCTTTTCCTGGTAGAAAAGGTCGTCCAAATGCTCAGCTGCTTAACTTGCTCTTTTCTGAATGTAAATAAGATTGCCACTTAGGGTCAAAGTAGGCATAATATTATCCGAACCATTAGCAATGATGTATATAGCATTTAAAAATGTTCGGACCCCGGGGTGTTAGTTGGCTTTAATCTTTCCACCACCCCCTGCGATAATCCCAGACCTGATCAGTGTTCCCTTGCAGAAGTGGGGAAAGAGCTCCCACTGGCAAACATGAGAGCTTTTGCCCCAGCACAAATAGGTTTGGGGGCCTTGGTTGGAACTACACTGGTAGGTTTGATGTCCACACACTGGGATCCCACTCTGGATTAACCCCCTGGGCCTGCAATTTACTTTAAAACACACACAAAATTGCAGGAGGTACTAGTTTGCTCCTTAATGCACTTTTAGGTAGAATATCACTTTCACGCTTTTCCCTTTATATCTGCGCTGAGCTGAAAATCGTAAGGAAATTATGCCACTCTTTCATGCCGTCAGACGAAACAATTTGCATTATGAGCATGATGAAGTGTTTTCTGCAGTTTCAAGTGTGATAAAAGTCAAGGCATTCATCATGGCTCAAATGGGTGAAATTCCAGAAAATACCTCGTCATGCTCTTCATGCAGGTTCTTTTGCTTAATAGTGGGGGGGGAGGTAATGAAAGCAGGGAGGAAACGAGAGATACCTGTTGCACGAGCCAGTTCCTGTGAAATAAGGGAAAAGAACAAGTTGCTTCACTCTCTCGCTTTCTCTCTGCTGTTATCTGTGTCCTTTGTTGACTTACCCTGTTTGCTAGCCTAGCCACGTAATGTGTACAGAGAGGCCACGTTTAATATTTCCTGTGCGTGTGTATGTGTGTGTGCGCGCGCGCATTTCAATTCTGGGCGGGAAGCTTTTTTTATGATCCAGTTCTGGTGTCCTTCCGGAGAGGCCCTGGGTGTCCCTCATGCAGTCCTGCCGGCAGAGAGAGGCATGGATGAGAAATCTGTCCAACGTGCCTCGATCGATCAAGCATTTCTGTTCTGTAAACAAACCTCTTCCATCTGATTTCTAACCAAGGCATCTGGTTGGAACGAAATGTCTTTCTCTCTCTATCCCTTTGATCTAGGATGGGTGCCGAACTCAGCAGGACCAGATTGGCTCCTGGAACAACGCGGGGGGGGGGGGGACAGATGGTACAGGGACGGCCCCCTCCCTCCAGAACCTGCCCTCAATGCCATCGGACTAGTTTTTCCATGAAAAGGAAGCAGCGGGGAAAGATCACTGCATTCATCCGTGTGCACAGAACTGGAGAGACGGCATTGGGCACAGTCTGGGAGAGAAGGGGTCTGGCCAGACAGGTTCGGAAGTTCCCCGCCTGTCATCTGTATTTCTTGCGTTGACGTGTAGCCCTCCTTTCTGCCCAAAACATGGTTCTGGAGGCAGCATGCTGCCTTCATAGGATCTTAAACAAGAAAATGCAAACTCTGCATGTGCACCGAGCTTTCCTAGCACAGCAAAACACAGCATTGCGCTCTTTATTTAATTTATTTATTTAAAACTTTTCTAGCCCATCCCTTACTGAAGTCTCAGGACAGTTTAACAAAACGATTCAAAAAGTAAAATAAAACACAGTGTCCTAAAAATTAAATTGAAAGTAAAACCCCAAACAAAACAGTTATCTTAAAACATTGGGAAAATAAAAAGGTTTTAGCCTGGCGCCGAAAAGAATAAAGTGATGGTGCCAGGCGACCCTCTCGGGGGGGGCAAATTCCACAATTGGGGTGCCACCACAGAGAAGGCCCTTCTCCAGGTAGTCACCCTCCTAATCTCCTTCAGGGAGGGCACCCGGAGAGGGGAGTCTGCCTTCCCAGAGACACATCTCCGCTTCTCTCATCTCAGGGTCTTGGGACGGCCCCCATTCCCAGCAACCTCTGCTCCTCTCCCCCTTTTCCTTTCGATTCTGGAGGGCCCATTTCAGCCTGGAAAAAAAGGGGGCACTCTAGAAATGCAGCATATAAGAAAAATAATTCCCAAGATTTTTTGGAAATTTTGAAAGAAAATCCTCCCCACCAATTTTCCCAGATCCCCCTTTTTCCTAGACCATCGCCTCTCTAAACAGAGGGTTCATCCAACCCATGAAAAGTGGAAAGCAACGCAAAGCCCTGCTCGCTCGGCTGAGCCCCGCTCGCTCGGACACCCTTTTCCTAACGCACGGTGCTGTTGAGAATGCCAAGAGGTTTCCTAGCCAGATCTGCGAGGACTTTAGCCCGCAAACTCTGCTCTTGCAACAGGACAGAAGTGCTGGGCTGTGACCGACCTCTCCTCCGTCCCCGGAGCAGGAGATGAGTGACGCTTGAACTCTGTATGCTTAATCTTTAGCTGGAGCCAAAGGAACGCTTCCCTCACTGAAGGTCACTGGCGAGTCTATCCCCCGAGTGGTGGTGAATGTTACCCAGGAGTCCTGGCAGCGAGGAAGAATCCCCTTTCCCCTCTGGCTTGCCAGAGCCCTCTTCCCTTTTTCAAAACTAGTGGCGGGCTTCCTTTTCCCATCCCACAGGGCTGGCATGTTGCTCCCATTCCAGACCCTGTTCCATCTTATAGACACTTAACAGGCCGGCCTTGCTTTTTCTCTGATTCTGCATGTCTCAATATTTCTAAACATGCTGTATTGAGTGAGATTTTGGGGAGGGTCCAGTTTTCAGCTCCCTTCCCTGCAGATTTCACTCCCGCTCCACTGCCCCATCGGCTGCCTAGTCCGGAGGGTGCAGAAATGGTTATTCTCACCCTCAGCTTTGAAATGGTGGGAGTAGTGAGGGGGATTTGGAGAAACTTCCCCGCTGTTGGAGCAAGACTTAAGCATTTTAATGGACCTCTTGACTTCAGAATGCAAAGGCAGAGCTCAACAGCAGCCGTTTCAAGGATGCCGGCGTCGGCATGCGCCCCTGCTCCATAAATGGCACTTCTCTGAGATAACTGGAAGGAGGGGGTAAGTCCATGTGGGGGGTAGATTATGAGATTATGATTTCTTTCATGCAATTAGTCACTGGGTTGTCTCCCTGTTTCCTGCTGGCCTCCTTGTGTTTCTGCCAAGTCATTAGCAAAGGCGAGGCTGCAAGAGCCAAGCAAAACGAAACTGAGAAAAGCTAAGCAGTTTTCGAAATGCTGGTCTTTAAACGGGGCAGTGGTAGAGTTTTGCTACCTCTTCACACAGCGTGTAGGCAGTTATGGATTCTGGTTTTTCACCCGTTTAAAAGACTTAAAGGGGAGATTCAGCCAATGACTGGATTTCTGGGAAAGTGATCTTGGGTTGTTCTTGTTTTTTACAGAGAAGTTAGACAGTCACTGAACACTTGTGCCAACCTTTTGAAAGCACCATCTTTTGTTTCTATTTTAGTTTTTAAAAAAGCAAGTTACTAGCCCTCATGGTTTTAGAGGCAGGCTGGCAGAACTGAGGGTGAAATCTCTGCTGGAGCTGAACATGGGCATGATTTCCCCTGGACCGGCTTTGTTAAAGTCTTGCATTGGCTAAATTACGCATGCTTTGTCAGCAGGTCCTGGATTGCAGAATTGAGCAATTCGGAGAAGCTGCTTCTCCACCCCCCCCCCTTTTCCCCCCGCTAGTGGATTTGGGTGCCATGTTGTGTTCATGGGCCTCCTATGCAGGCAGGGTGCCCAACCTACAGGGAGGGGCTTGGGTTACATCAGGCATCTTTTGCCCAGAGGAAGAGATGTTTTTTTCACCTCCCAAGAGCTTGGTGTCTGCACAGCAGCGATTCAAACAAGCGGCTTGCCTTTGGGAAAACAAGGGGGCAGTTAAAGAAGAGGCACCTTCGTGGGGTGGTCTTCTGCAGGGTTGCTGGGGGGAGACAGGTTAAAGGGAGAGCTGGTGGAGAGGGTGACCCAGTTCGTTGGGGGCTCCACATGCGAGCGTCTGACAATGAGGGGCTCGTGGGAAGCGAGCCCCTCTGCACTGCTCACAGAAGGCCGTTGCAACACAACCCAGAGAACGCTCATCAAAGCCACCGTCTTGGAGTGGAGCACGCATGGAGCCGGCGCTTGCGTTCCCCGCTTGCGTCACACGGCGAGGGCATGCCCCCCTTGGAGTGATGTCAGAGAGCCCTCTCTGCCGGAGCATGGCATCCCCGCCCCCCTTGCAAGGCTGGAGTCCAGAAGTCCTTATGTAGCCTTTTGGGAAGCTGAACAAAAGCTGAACTTAGGAAAAACCCTGCAGTACAAAACGACGACAGCCTTTCCTTTTATTTTGACTATGTTCCTTATTTTTTATTGTTTATCTATTTTAATTATTGTGTTAATCAATTTTATTGTTGTTTTTGGTTTTATTGTAATTGCAGATTTCAAAGTCTTGCTGTATTGATTATGTCCTAAACCCCCCTGAGAGTCTTATGGCTAATGGGACAACAAATCAATCAATCAATCAATCAATCAATCCCTGAAATCCAGTTATGCCCGCAAGCCAAAACAAACCCTGAAACCTAATTACAAGCAGCATTGCAACCCACAATCCACATTTCAGGGGCACTGTGTGTTTTCTTGGGTGTGTGCATTTCACTTTTTGGGGGTCCGCATTATGCTGTTGCTGCTTGTTCCCCCCAGTTCATGGACGTTGTCCTCTCCTCCGCTGAGGTCCTGCCGCAGTCTGGAGTGCCGATTTGTGAAGCAGGAGCCAGGCGTCTCCCGTGTCGGGGTTGCTTTGGGATGGACTCTGCTAGCGCTAGTTGGTCCTAAGACTGTGCGGGTTTTCCATCCCGAACAAAGGCCTTTTGTTCCTGCCCTGCCGGGCAGCCCAGCAGTCAGTATGACCTTTCCTGGAGTGTGCGGCAGAGTTGCTAAACCCTATGAAAAAAAGCACGATTGTACAAAGTTTGCCAGATTGAAGACTTAGGCCATGCATGTTGCATTTGGGCTGTGCTGCGTTGATCTCTGTTCCTTACCAGCTGTTTGCAGTGAAGGAGTCTACCTTCTGCGAGTGTTGCTGTTGCTGAGCATTGGTCTGTTTTAAGCAGGCTTTTGCTTTTAAAACTCAGTTTTTGCTTTGTTTTGCTCTTGGTTCCTGCACCTCCGAAATAGGGGAACAGGTTACTGTTTGAACCCCTGGTCCAAGCAAGGCACCTCACCTTCGAGTCAGAGTTGTTTAGGAAGCAGCAAAACCACCTGCATCCAAGGTAAAATGCAGTGTATTGAGTGCAGGGATGAAATATGGGTGCAGAATATAAATCAACAAAAGAAAGTTTACATGTCCCTTTCTCTGTGGTTGTTCCTGAGTAAGCCAGGGGGTGTACCATGAGCCTCCAAAGTGGCTGAGTGGCAGATCAACTTCTCTGCCCAATCTAAGAATAAAAGACCGCTCCTCTTGCTTTTATAAAGTTCCTCTCTCCTGCCATTTCAGAGACAAATAGGCACACAGCCTGTACCCCCTTCCTGAGAGATGGGAGAGAAGCTGCTTCAGTAAACAGTTTTGTTCTCACAGCACAAGCAGCTCTTTTCTAAAGAATGACTGGGGAAGACAGTTCCAAAGGTGTGTTGACAGCCTAACAGAACTTCCGGGCCAACCTTCCCCAAACGGATGGCCTCCAAATATGCTGGACTACAACCCCCATCACTCCCAGCCAGTGTGTTCCCATTGCAGCCCCTGCCCATCCCCAGCAGCAGCAATAGCAGAAGGCACTGCTGTCTGGTTTCCCCACAAGAATATGCTTGGCCACTAAGGGAAAGGGAACATCGCCAAATCCG